CCTGCTTCTCCCTCTCCCTCTGCCTGCCGCTCCCCCTGCTTGTGCTCTCACTCTCTCTCTCTCTGTAAAAAAAATAAATAAAATCTTCAAAAAAAAAAAAAAGAAAGAAAAAGAAAAGAAATAGCTTTTAGCTTGGCTACTGGGTATTATCAGAGTATAAATGCTTAAAAACAGGCTGCCAAGTTCATGAGCTGGGTGTTATCTGATCCACCAAGCCATAAAGCCAAATGTGCATAGCAGCATTCCATCATCCAGTAGAAGTTGTATATATGAGACTGGGTCTGAGCAAGCCCTCAAGGCACAAGTTACATTAGGAAGTGGCCCAAATGCTCATGGCCCCCACTCTTACCTTCTTTCTCCCAGCCTCCACCTATGGCCTCACAGGGAGTTCTCTAAAATCAGTTGATTGAGGAAGAGAAAACTTGGGACTGGTTTACAGATGGTTCTACATGATATGCAGGCACTAACTGAAGTGGACAACTGCAGCACTATGACCCCTTTCTGGGGTATCCCTGAAGGACAGTGGTGAAGGGAAATCCTCCCAGTGAGCAGAATGTTGAGCATCTGGTTGTTCATTTTGCTTGAAAGGAAAAATGGCCAGACATGCGATTATATACCAATTCATGAGCTGTGGCCATGGTTTGACTGGATTGTCAGGTACTTGGAAGAATCATGATTAGAAAATTGCTGACAAAGAGGTCTGGAGAAGGGGCATCTGGGTAGCTCAGTTGGTTAAGCGTCTGCCTTCGGCTCAGGTCATGATCCCAGAGTCCTGGGACTGAGCCCCACATCGGGCTCCCTGCTCACTGGGGAGTCTGCTTCTCCCTCTGCCCCTCACCTTGCTCTTGTGCTCCCTCTCACTCTCTCTCTCAAATAAATAAATAAACAATCTTAAAAAAAAAGATGTCTGGAGAAGAGGTATGTGGATAGAGCTCTCTGAATTGGCAAAAAGCATGACTATATTTTTGTTCCATGTAAATGCTCATCAAGGGGTAACCTCAGTAAATCCAGTGGATAGAATGACCTGTTCTGTTGCTACCAGTCAGCTTCTTTTCCCAGCTACAGCTCTCATTGCCAATGAAGTCATGAACAAAGTGGCTATGGTGACAGATGGAGGTTATGCACGGGCTCAGCAATATGAGAATGTAAGCTCCCAAAGGGAGGGACTGTGACTATTTCCTTTGCTGTTGTGTCCCCAGAGCCGACAGCACTGTTGAATGAGTAAATACATGAATTACAAAAGTTTTAAAAATATAGTACTGAGAAATGAGACCATGGAACAGCTCTTGGTAATAGTTTATTAACTCATTTCAAAAGAGTGATGATCATGAACATTTGTGAAATTCTGTATTTAAAGTTAAGTGGTGGGAGATGCACACACATATTTGTATATTACTAAGATTTGCTTTTTAAACTCCCAGAGGTTTTTTAGATTTTTATATCAGTCAAAAGGTAACTGAGTTTAAGAAACATCACCAATTTAAAATTTTATACACAAAACATAAATGTGGTCTCATCACTGTAACTTTCATCAATTAAAAATCACTAACAGAGGGGCACCCGGGTGGCTCAGTCAGTTAACCATCTGCATTCTGCTCAGGTCATGATCCCAGAGTCCTGGGATTGAGTCCCACATCAGGGTCCCTGCCCAGCAGAGAGCCTGCTTCTCTCTCTCCCTCTGCTGCTCTCCCCTGCTTGTGCTTTCTTGGGCTTTTCTGTCAAATAAATAAAATCTTAAAAAAAAAAAAAGTGACTAACAGAAACAGGGCAGTCTATACTTGCTTAAGATTTTGTAAATATGGGCACCTGGGTGGCTCAGATGCTTAAGTGTCTGCCTTCCACTCAGGTCATGATCCCAGGGTCCTGGGATTGAGTCCTGCATCAGGCTCCCTGCTCCTTGGGGAGCATGCTTCTCTCTCTGCCTCTCTCTCTCTCTCTCATGAATAAATAAAATCTTTAAAAAAAAAGATTTTGTAAATATACTTTGGAGATGGTGATGGAAATATGTGCACCAAATGGCAGTTTCTTAATTACAGTCGTTTCCCCTTCTCTGTGGGTAATACATTCCCAGACCTCCAGTGGATGCCTGAAACTGCAGATAGTACCAAACCCTCTATATGCGTTTGACCCTTGAACAACACAGATTTGAACTGTGTAGGCCCACTTCTTTTTTTTATACAGTATAGTTTTAACCAGTTAAACATAAAGCTACTCCCACATGCTTCTACACAAGAGGTTACAAACCCTTTTCTTAATGAAAATGTCACTTGAAAGACATATTATACAAAGTGTAGTTTCAATAAGTTAAGCACAGTTGTATTCCAATGTTTTTTTTAAAGATTTAGAGAGAACGCGAGCTGAAGGAGGGAAAGAATCCTCAAGCAGACTCCCTGCTGAGTGGGGACCCTATCATGACCTGAACTGAGACCAAGAGTAAGCTGCCCAACCAACTGAGCCACCCAGGCACCCCTCCAATATGCTTCTACATAAGTTTACATAGACTTATATCTCAAAGACTTTATTTGAAAGAAGTTATATACAGTGTAGTACCAATGGTTTAAGCATATGGCTTATCTCATATGTGTAGGCCCACTTATATGTGGATTCTTTTATAGTAGTGTAAATGCATTTTCCTTATGATTTTAACATTCTTATTGTAAAGATAAAGAATATGCATAATATACAAAATGTGTTGTGTTATCGGTAGAGTTTCTGGTCAACAGTAGGCTATTAAGATTTTGGAGAATAAATTTATACAGAATTTCAACTGCATAAGGTAGGGGTGGGGTTGGCACCCCTAAACCCCACATTATTCAAAGGTCAATTGTACTGTTTTTTCCTATATATACATATTTATGATATAAATTTGTAAATGAGGTACAGGACAAGATTAACACTAAAATAGAATGGTTATAATATACTATAGGGGAGCCCGGGTGGTTCAGTTGGTTGTGTCTGACTCGTGGTTTTGGCTCAGGTCATGATCCCGTGGGCTGTGAGTTCAAGCCCCAAGTTGGGCTCCATGCTCAGAGGGGAGTCTGCTTGAAGAATCTCTCCCTTTGCCCCTCCTTCCACTCTCTCTCAAAATGAATAAATCTTTAAAAATATACTATAATAACGTTATGTGAACGTGGCCTCTCAAATTCTTATTATACTCATCCTTCTTGTGATGTAGGATATGGTACCCATGTGATGAGATGAAGTAGGGTGAAGGACACTGTGATATAGCATTAGGCTACCGACCTTCTGGTCACCTGTCAAAAGGATCATTTGCTTCTGCACTGCTGTTGCCTGAAACCATGGAAAAGTGAAAACAGTGGGGGGTGGGGGGTGCTCTACTGTACTCTGAGCACTTTTCCTCTAATAAATAACATGCCCAAGTGTCATAGCTACAAACCCACATAAGCCAATCCCTCCCTCATAATTTGCCAAATTTTCTCACCTTTATTTCCTTTGGAATATAACTAGGATAAGGAACCATTTGGATGTCTGAACTATAGGAAATACTGGTAGTCTGTTCTTCAGATTAGATTTTTATAGTGATAAAATTTGTTTCCAGCTCTCTTTTATTTCAAAGTCTATTGGCTCCTTTGAAATTCTTTTAGATGATAGATGTGGTTTGGTACTTTTCGTAAACTTAAAATACAAGGTCTTTGGAAGTTACAAAAACATCAAATAGTTTATAAACATCTGAGGGGTCCTCTGCTTTGACAGACTTGAAACTTTTTTAAAGAAAAAGCCATCACACTTTCCTTCAGTTTAGCACCCAGATGTCTCCTTAGTCTTGAGTTGTTTCAGTATTCTGTGGACAGCATTCTGTTAACCCATTGTTGCAAGATGATGGAATCCTTTCTCAAAGAAAACTTGTGTGGTAGATTGTATTTTCCCAAAAATGGCAATGGACAAAGGTTACTGAAGGTTTTGGGGGATAGAAGGTTCCAGTTGTCCTCCATCTCTCATTCCCTTCATAATGGATTATGGCTAGATTAAAAATTTCAGTTTATTCGCTCTATTTTCTTTTTATAAGGATGAAATTTTTAAACACATATATACATGCTTCTTTAGCTTGCAGAATGTATACTTTTACATTTTCCCCCCCTACTAAAAAAGATATGTCTTCTACAGAAAAGGTTTAAGAAAATAATCATCCATAATCCACCCAAAAGTTGGCATATTTCCTTTCCATCGTTTCAATATACAAAAATATCATCTTATTTGTATTTACTGCCTATACAACCATATGCTTAGGCTGTTTTGTTCCAAGTTTATTTTTAATTCAGAGATTAGGCAGCTAAGCGCAAGTTTGGCCTAGTGATCACTCATCCATCTTCCCAGGCTGGGGGACTATTTTTGTAGCCCACGTTCATCTCTTACGGATCTTTTAACACATTTTTCCAGTTCTTACCAAGGATCTGAGACTTGTTCATCACAGCCATTAAATTTACTTTTGCTAACACTAGGTAACAAATGAAGCTTTTCCTAGAAGAGTTATGTGGAAAGCCATCGAAGACTTGACAGAACAAAGACAAAACAGATTTGGTAATCCAGAATCTGGTCCTTATTCAACTGCAAAGTAGTCACATGGTCTTCACCAACAATTCAGAGATTGCTTCGGTACCTGGTTCTGAGATTTTATCCCATAACCTTATTAGGTTTTAACCATCTTGAGTCAAGAGGATCTCCTTTTCTAGTATCTAAAACCTAAGAATCTGTATGTCTATTCACTTTTCTAAAGAGTGAATCGTTAAACTATTAACTTTATTGAAACACTTTACCTTTGTCCTCCCAGACTGTCATATTTTGCCAGATTCAAGGGTTGGGTCAACACAGCCAATGAACAGCTGACGTAAAATCTGCGTATTTATAACTAGAAGTTCCTGAGGGCCACCCAAGTGTCCTCCTAATGTACCACTGGCATATACAGTTAGGTCTTTATAACCCAATTATATTTCCCGACTACACAAAAAGTTAATGCATTGAAAACAGAGAAGTTCCACCTCTACATATTGAATTAAACTTTATTTTAAAAGGTAAAGTTTTATATATCCTTTGAAAAAAATGAAAATTCAAAAGTCTTAGAATTAAGTAATGAGTTGTCAACATTATAAAGTTATTTAAAACAGTAATTAAAGTAGTGGTAATGCTGTACCCTTATAAAAATGTCACAGAATTCAAATCACAACTCGGATCCTCAATGATTCAAGTGTCTTATCTTACACAATAAGGATTTGGTCAGTTTTAAGATAAAATTCCTCCAGATATGCTGTCCCCAAGTCCTCTTATCTCCTGGTCCATCAGCTCACACAGTGGGATAGCTCGCTGCTGTGGCAATTCCACAGTGGTTGTCCTGGTCTTTGGCCATTTTTACATAGCCATTACAGCCCCATTCTGGCCCCCAACTGAAAGAAGAGCATATTTTGTTTTACACAAAGAATCAAGTACACATTAACTTCATTAATAATAGCTAATACTTAAGATAGGACTTCCCACTTATCAGGCACTATTCTAAGTGCTCTTACTTATAAATATATTAATTCCCATGTGTCCTTAACTTTTTTAAGATAGGAAACTGAGGCACAGCTAGGATTCCAATGTACCAGTCTGTTTCTACAGGCTATCTTATACCTCATCTCAATTAAAGAACTTGAGTGGTGAAAACTGATCCTGACAACGCGCAAAGCCTCGGAGAGTTGGGAAGTAGCATAAGACAGCAGGGCCACGAATGCTAACAGGAAGGATGCACAGAGCCCACTGGACTCTTGGAAAATCTTTCCAACTTAAAGAGTCAGCAGTTATTTGTGCTCAGTCTACCTTGTTGAAAAACTGGACACAGAAAAAGGAAACCAGCCCTTAACCTTATAAGGGTGCAAAATCCTTTATCTGAAACTCTTTAGGGCCAGATGTATTTCTGAATAAAAAATAAAAAAAATTCAGAATTTAGAATTGCAATGTTACAAATACATAATAATTCCAACAAGCTTGCTACAGAATCTTGTAATATATATAACATTTGGAGTTTGATACCTGTTCTTGACAATCCAAAATTTATCGTTATTTGAATCTGTTCCTTCATAGCCATAGCCAACCACCAGAACACCATGATCGAGGTCTTTGCTGCTGCACTCTGGGTCAAAATAAATGCCTAGGAGAGTAAAATTCAATGTCAGGGTAAGGAGCTCCAAGTGACACGACAGTAAGTCACCCTATCTACCACAGGTAAGAGAGACATCTCAAAATTCAATTAAATGTCATAAACAAATTCCAAATAATGCTTAAATATTTATCAAAAAATTGTCATAGCTCATAAAAAGGAAAAGTCAAACTCAACTCACGAGCAATGAGCAAAATTAAATCCAAGATATTTTCTACTTGAAAAAACACAAAGATTTCCAATAATAAGATCTAGTTTCCAAAGCTAAGGTGATTTAGCCACTCCTATTATTTAGCATAATCCTTTCTATTCCTAAAAGGAAACAGCACAAAACAAAGTTAACACTTGAGCCACAGGGTTCTTTATAGTTCTATAGTAAACATTTTTGGGAAAAAAGGTCCAACAACTAGACAGTAGTTACGTCAATTAGTTGTACTTACAAAATTACAAAGTCATTTAAAACTGTTTAGGAAGAGTTTGTCATGAGAAAATGCCTAAAGTATGTCAAATGGAAACATCACTATATTAAATGCACACTCAAAATTCTACAGTTTTTGAAAGCAGGACTCCAAAAAGTCAATCATGGTGGTAGTTTTCCAATTTTGCCCGCCTGAATTTCTACAATAAAAATATAAACACCTACCTGATTTATAGAACTGGAACGACTGATGGCCTGCATCAATAGCAACAGAGATGGGTCCTATAGTTGCCACTGCCTTCATAAGGGCCTTCTCCCGCTGAGGGATGTCCACAAAGCCCGTGTCATTGGCAGCAGAACATTCAGGCCTGTAGTTACAGGTATCTGTGTCCTTTTAAAGGTAAATGGGAAAGAAACTTGATCACTACCATCCAGCTCCTGGGGAACATGAGTTCTAGGACCTCAAGACTCAGCAGTTTGCCGCTTAATTTTCCAAGTCAACTTTGTTGTAAGTCAACAGCAGAATGCTACCGGTTGATTTGAAATTGAAAAATCAGCAGATGTTTCTTCAGTGAAACCCAAGTCTGCTTGTCCATAAGAAATTTTTCACTATGGGACACCTGGGTGGCTCAGTCCATTAAGCGTCTGCCTTCGGCTCGGGTCATGATCCCGGAGTCCTGGGATCGAGTCCCACCATCGGGTTCCTTGCTCAGCGGGAGCCTGCTTCTCCCTCTCCCACTCCCCCTGCTTGTGTGTGCTCTCTCTCCCTTTCTCTCTCCGATAAATAAAATCTTTAGAAAAAAAAAAAAAATTTTTTTTTCACTATGGAGAAATTTGCATTATGTCCAGAATGGCATATTAAAGTCCCCAAGTTACACAGAAGTAAGAACAGCTATATGCTAACCATCTATTCAGAGAACCTGTGCAAAAGGCTGACAATTCATAGTGGCACTTCTGTCAGTTTGCATCTAAAATGTGAATGTTGAATAAAGTGCCTGTTATCTTTGGTTCAGTTCAACTTTCAAAAGCAGGGCTGGAATAACAAGATAAGGAACTCCATTTACCCTTGCAAGATAGGGATAGGATTCCTCCGAGTCCAGGCCTCCGTTGTCCTTCACATACTGGAAGGCATAATCCATCAGGCCACCACTGCAGCCGTCGTTGCCTTGAGACCGAGAGCAGTCCACCAGGTTCTGCTCACTCAGTGACACGAGTTTGCCAGTTTTCCGGAACATCTGTCCTTCAAGGGCACCCGTTGCACTAAAAGCCCAACAAGAACCACACTGACCCTGAAAGTAAAAAAGTTATCAGTTTACAAGACAACAAAAGCCCATATACCTGAATATTCTTAAAACAAAAAAGCAAACTGATGTCACTCGACAGTCTACCAAATCAAGGACACTAATTCCTTTTGGATTTACTCTTAGAAGGAGATCTGCTAAATATTATCATACCTGATTCTTCACAGGAGTTACATAGCCTTTCAGAGTCCAGTCCACAGATTTGGGGATCTCAGCAAAGAGAGGTTCTTGGAACACTTTCCCTTTCCTGTGTTTCTGGTTTCGAAAGCCATTCATCACCTGCCTGAATTCTTCATTGGTCTTAAGGAAAAGTAAGTAAAATGTTGAAAAAACAAGAGGTTACTCTCCTAAAGTACAGAGAGAAAGCACAAAAAGTTCAGCAATCCATGCCACACTCACCATGTCACCAAAGGCATTCATTCCCATTGTGAAGCCATGTTTCCCTTGGCTATATTCCCGATTATGCAGTTCAATCATTTTCATATTCTTCTCCCACACTGCTCTCCTCCATCCTTCTTCATTCTAGAGGCAAATATATAACTTACATTTACTTCTACTTAAAACCGAGTCCACCCTCACCAAGTGGATTTGCAGACAGATAGGGAGAAAAACCAGAGCCAGGGATGGCTTTATATTTCTGTTGGAGCTGTTCAACAACCATACAACAAGGAATTATGCCCATATTGTATTCAGTAATGGGTGCCATGAAGTTTTGCCTTGGTAAAAGCTGACCTCTAGATGCAACTCTCTACCTATAAACTCCCAACAGCAAGGGCCTCTCTCTTGGGCTCTCTCTGGACAGTTTCATAGGTTACCAACCATGCCATATAATCTCCTGTGTGCCGCCTTCCACTGGGACCAGTGCGCATCTAGGTTCTGATCGAGTTTTGGAGCTGCTGCGGCTATTCCCAAGCAAAGGGCAGCCAGGAAGAGTGAAGGATTCATGCTTCAAAAACCTAGTAAGGAAAATGAAATGAATATTCAATGAGACCGATCCTTTAAAAAAGCCATCCTATTTTGTCCTGAGATGCTGTGGAGTAAAAACACTTAAATCATCTTCCCAAATATTTACAGGTCTGTGAAAAAGGCTATGCATGTGGCTGGAGAAAAGAGGCCAAGGACTTAAAACAGTGGAGGTAGTAGGATTCAGCCATCAACTGAAAAACAGGCTGACAAGTGCTGTAGGAATTGAAACTGACTTCATTGTAACAGTGCAATGACAATTTAGGTTTTGATAGGGGTCTCAGAATCTTAAGGCAACTAAAACTGTTGGTCCAAGTTATTTACTGAAAATACCGAGGTGACCCAGGAAATCTTATTTATAGGACACCTGAACCCAAGTAGGGGCAGGGACCGCCCAGGACTTAGGTAGCCACCTCACACTTTTCTTCTAGACTCATGTACAGCATGCCGTGAGAGAAGCCTTCGAACCTCCTCCGGTCCTTGTTTCTGAAAGGCCTTCCCAGAAGTTGGGCAGGAGTGCACCCAGTGCTCCGCTGTCCCCACATTTGGCTTCTGCCGCCAACACTCCCATTCACTCCCTCAAATCGAAGACGTGGTCACGAGGCACGAGGGAGTCCCGAGCCCCCAGTTCCCGACCCGGACAGGGCCAGGCTCTGCCGGGGCTCAGAGCACGGTCCCAGGCGGGGCCAACAGCTGCGCGGCAGGCGGGGCCGGGCCGGGGGGCTCTCCACCCCGCTCGCCGCCCTCAGCTTCCAGAGGATGTTGATGGACGGCCGCGCAAGGAGTGCCGGGCCCCGCAGCCAGTGCGTAGGTCAGGCTGCCGTGTACCTCCTTAGCCAGGCCGGGTCCCGCGGCGGCCCAGCTACCGGACCTGTGCCCGCCACGGCCCAGAGGCAGACCGGTTCCTGCACAGCCTAGGACCTCCCGGTGGTCTCAGCGCCGCCCTGCGTTCCCCAAACCGTCCTCCCCGACTTCCCACCTCAAGGCTTACAGGATCCAAGCGGCGCCGACTCAGCCTCATCAACTCCAGGCAAGCAGATGCTCTTATTCCCGCGGGTCGCACCCGCCCCTCGCCCGAGCCCCGGGGTGGATCCCCTCCCTTAGTCCCTGTCCCCGAGGCGCTGGGGGTCCCCAGACTGAGACGCTGACCTGCGGCGTCCACAGCTGCGCAGGCGCACTCCACAGACGCACGCAGCCCTTCCAAGATCGCCGAGGCCTGGGATTCTGGCCCAGTTGCTCCTGACTCAGCCTTTAAGGTCTCTGGAATTCTGCCCGCTCGGCCCCGCCCTTACCGCCTGCCCGCGCGGCGATTGGCTGCGCCGGCCTGTGGGCAGGGCCTCCAGGCGTGGGACTCCCAGCGCGTGACGCGGCTCGGTCTCAACTTGTCCCAGGGCAGCTAGGGCCTGCTTCAGTGGGCGCGGGGATAGCGCTGAGCGGGGCAAGGCGGCGGGGCACGGAGCCAACCTGGGGACCCAGATCAAGTCATTACCCCGAATTCAGGAGATCGGCGGGTGGTTCGCTAAAGGAAACTTACAGGGAGCCCCAAATGGGTTTTCAGCATCGCTCTACTTGTGCTTTAGTTCTGGAGTTTTTGGTTAAAATCTCCCGTAAGTTTGAGAACAATATAGTCTAGTGGTTCCTGTTTATTCCAAGCAAAGATGGGGCGGGTGGAGGATGCAGGATGGGATCCCTCTGGGTTTGGGAAGAATCTGGAGTGGACTGGAAATCCCCCAAATACGGGACGCGATGGGCAAGACCCAAATCCTTAAAAGGGAAGGGGACAGACTGAATGGGTGTACAGAGAAGGCGTGGCATTTTGTAATACTTATGTCCTGTTTCTCCCTCTTCTTCCCTCTCAAGCCTTTCTCAAAACCAACAGAAACAAATTATCTACAGAAAAATTTGGTTTAATAAAAAGGAGAAAAGCGGCCGAGAAGGGTGGAAACATATTTTCCTACACTCTACATTAGGGGTTGATTGTTAGGTCTTTCTCAGTATCCAGTGCTTCTCTTGAGCTATAAGGAGTGTGCTTTAATAACACTTAATGTCAGGGTTTAGGTTATGCAGTTTGAAGAAGTGTTTTAGTTGGAGAACAAATATATATACATATATATACAGTTGACCCTTGAACACTGTGGTTGTTAGGGGCAACGACTCCCCACACAGTTGAAAATCTGCATTATAACTTGAATGGCCAAAACCTTAACTACTAATAGCCTACTGTTGGCCAGGAGCCTTACCAATGACACAGACAGTGGACTAACACATATATTGTATGTTGTATGTATTATATAATGTATTCTTATCGTAAGCTAGAAAAAAGAAAATGTTACTAAGAAAATCATAATGAAGAGAAAATAAATTTACAGTATCCTAGTGTATTTATCAAAAAAATTTGGATGTAACTGAATTCCACATTTCAAACCTGTGTTTTTCAAGGGTCAACTGTATGTAGAGATTTAAGGAAATTAATTCAGAAATGTTTCTAAAATTTTCTTTTTTTAATTGCATAAGAAACACTCATTGTAGAAAGTATATTTTAGAAAATGAACACCCCTGTCCTCTCCCTCCTCTTTTCTAAGGATATCTTTATATATATATATATATTTTTCTTTTTACAGAAATGGAGTCATAGTGCATGTCAATTTGTACTTAGTTAAAATTAAATTGATAATCTTCATAGAAGCAAAATCAGACAAATATTTTTAAAAGTCAACTTCTTAAAAATTTCATTTTATGTCCTTTGAAAAGTAGAGTCCTTTTCATCTCACACACAGCTAAGGGCCCAAAGTTCTCAGGTGGTTACAAAAGTGTACTGCATATGGCTGGACTTTGGTTTTTTGTTTTATCCTTAAAAAAAAAAAAAAGTAATCATGGTGGTCCATACAAGCGTTATCCACATGTGGAAATAAATGAAGACCACCCACATGATACAAAAAGAAGACAATTCAAAAACAGACTGAGGAAAAGCTTTAATTATGAAAAAAAGAGGGAGGCTTCTGTAAGAGGCTCTTGTCATGGGGAGGCTGGAGGATGAATACCTAGAAATGGAACCTCATTTATGTGATTGGTTTGGGGAGAATATTTGGATTTCTCTGGTTTGTCCTGGGTTGGAAGTGGAGGCAAAGATAAATGGATAGCCATTCAGCAAGTCCTGAGAGGTTGCCTGAGAGATTTCTTTCGTGGGTCAGAGTTCTTTGTCATGTAAAGTCTGGCCATTGTTTGCTTGTTTACTCAGTCAATCACAAGAAATCTAAATTATTCTAGCACGTGGGTTTTACAGCTGCCCTGGGGTCACAGCTCCATAAGATTGCACAGGGTGGAAAAACCTGCTACGGTGTGAATGTCTGCACCTTAGGCAATAGTCTGGCGGGAGGCTGCCTGGCAGGTGCGGATCCAAAGAACGGCATCACCTTTGCTTGTTGGAATGTGATACAAAATCAATGGAGGATAAGATGGTCTCTATTGCAAATATGCTCAAAACCTAAAATTAAATCAAGAAAAATCTAAATTCAGAAGTATAGGATAAAGCCATTTAAGCAAGAGAGTGGAAGATACTGCTCCAACTCATACCATGTACTTATACATAATCTGTTAAAGAATGCATTACAAAAATGTGCATTACTAACCATTGTGTTCCTTTTCTTCTTATTCTATTGCTCTTCTTTTGCAAAATAACTTAGATGGGTGCTAATATTAAAATAGTCACCTTTTAGTCAAGCAACCAAGACTTAGCTCTGCCTTTGATAAAATTCAGTTGTCAGAATTTCCCAATTCTTATTTAAAATGCAGTCTCTGTGAAAGTATATTCTCATGTGCCTGTCTAGATTTCTTTGGCTTACCAGTAAAACAGGATATAATTCTTTACCTCATCTCTGGAAGTTTTAAACAATGGGGTAATGAGCATAACAACCGCTCCAATTTGTTTCAATTCAATGAGCCAAGACTTATTCTTAAAAACGTTGTCCAGACAACTGTCCATTTGTAAAATGGTTTATTATAATTTATAATTTTATGAAAAAGAGTCTGTTTATGATTAGATGTTCACATGAAGCCACTTTTGAAATAATTTTTCTTTTTTTTTTTTTTTTTTTTGAGCTACTGTAACCTTGTCTATCCTATACGGTTAAATAGCCAATTCCTTAAGTAAATCAATTAACAAGAATTAATTAAACTTTTCCTTTGTGCTCATTGTCCTCTCCTGGTGTAGTTTGTGCATTTACTTAGACACATGCTGCTTGTAACTTCACTAACAGCTTTAATGAAGCTCAGCCTTTCCATTTTAAAATGAGATTAACTACAATAATCTTGATTTTACAGCATGTGAGCACAGCCATGACCAATATCATTGAAATGAGATTATGGCAAAGCATCTTGATGTAGTGGGTAACAAAAGAGCTGACCTTGTGGGATTTTCCCCACCACCAAGACTATAATCCACAAACTCTCCTTTGGTTGCCAGAAGATCTTTTCCTCAAATCTGAAAAAAAAAAAACAGTCTTTTCATGAAACAAGATGTATCAGTTTCTTTTTTTTTTTTAAAGATAATTATTCTTTTTTTTAAGGTTTTTATTTATTTATTTGATAGAGAGACAGCAAGAGCAGGAACACAAGCAAGAGTGGCAGAGGGAGAAGCAGGCTTCCTGCTGAGCAGGGAGCCTGATGTGGGGCTCGATCCCAGGACCCTGGGATCATGACCTGAGCTGAAGGCAGACACTTAATGACTGAGCCACCCAGGTGCCCCGAGACGTATCAGTTTCTTATGGCTGCTGTAACACATTTCCACGAAGTTGGTGGCTTAAAACAACAGGAATTTTTTCTCTCACAGTTGTGGAGGGCAGAAGTACAGAATCGCATCACTTGGGTTGAAAACCAGGGCACCTGGGTGGCTCAGTTGGTTAAGCGTCTGCCTTCAGCTCAGGACATGATCCCAGGGTCCTGGGATCGAGCCCCGCATCAGGCTCCCTGCCCAGCAGGAAGCCTGCTTCTCCCTCTCCCACTCCCCTTGCTGTGTTCCCTCTCTCACTGTGTCTCTCTCTATCAAATAAATAAATAAAATCTTTAAAAAAAAAAAAGAAAGAAAGAAAACCGGTTGTCCTAGGACTGTGCTCCCTCTGGAGGCTCTAGGGGAGAACCTGTTCTCTTCCAGCTTTAGCCACTCCTTGGCTTGGCTTGTGGCACATCACCCAATCTCTGCCTCTGTGGTCACATTGCCTTCTCCTCTTTAGTCTGTGTCAAATTTCCCTCTACCTCCCTCTTATAAGAACCCTTGTGATGGCATTTAAGCCCATCCAGATAATCCCTCTCAAAATCCTTAATCACATTTGTGAAATCTTTGCCACAGTAAGGTAACATTTACAGGTTCCAAGAATTAAGATCTGATATCTTTGGGGGGCATTATTTAGTCAGCTGCAACATGGCATAAATAAAAACTAGTTTCTCGACAAGGCTGATCAAAACTTTGTGTTTAACATCTTTAGACTGGCTTGACTAGGACAGCTAGGCCCTAAAGTCTTTGTGAACTTCCCACGCTGTAAATTTGCTCATGTCCCTTACTACAGACATTTCCTGCCTTGACTCTCCTGTTAGTGCAATGTTTGACACAGTTTGTTACGTTTCCAGACTCCCCCACAGCAGTTTTTATTACCTCTTCCTTCCCTAACCCCCTCTTTCCACAGCCACCTATTCCAGGGTCTCCGCATATAAAAGCATTGCTCACCTTCCTGAAGACATTTCTGGTTTGAGCTTTGAACATCTCCCTAGGGCAATTGTCTCCATTAATACAGTCTTTCCTTACAAATGTAGGTTCTTGCATTTTTTTCCCCTGACACCCTGAATCATTTTGGTAAGATCCCCTCCCTATGGTAATATCATTTGTGCTATTAAGAGTCAGCTTGCACATACATCTGCCAGGGGTTTGTTCCACAGGAAAGGCATCTCCATATAAGAGTACTCATTACTCCTGGAAACTAAAGTATTACTAGAAAAGATTCCTGCAATGATGATAATTGTGATGATGATAATGATGATAGTGACCACAATGAGGAGAGCAACAGCTAAATAACGTGTAGGTGCCAGGCACTGTTCTGAGCATGTTCTAGCTGCTCTGTCATTTATTCTTTACAACAACCCTGGGACAGTGATTCTCAAACTTTTTTTTTTTTAAAGATTTATTTTATTTATTTATTCATGAGAGACAGAGGGAGAGAGAGAGAGAGGCAGAGGGAGAAGCAGGCTCCCCGGT